TTGAGAGGCTCGAACCCTCATCATTTGCTTTAAAACTTAAGGAACTAGTCATCTATTTACCACATTCAAGCATGTTGTCATTTGTAAAATATATTATATATTATTTATGTGATCCATAGTATGTATGTAGGCATCTTATGCCATCACGGTCTGACCTCAGTTGAACGTCTGACCTGTGAACCTTTCCCTTTCCGGTTCTATGCCTGGTCCAGTTCTCTACTAATTGGTAAACAATAAAAAGATATACCAACCTCCAATCTCTTTATCTACAGTCATGAACTCAGAATAGGACTAGAGTTTCACCAACCCTACAACCCAGGAGAAACTTGAAAACTGCTAATCGCTCCAACCAGCCTCTACACTAGGTCTTCCAATGCAGGTCAATCTCTAAATCAGTCCAGAAGATGCCAAAACTTTCTGAGCGCCAGCCCCAATCTGTCTCCTTGGTGTTCATCCTAACTGGGTCTTACCTCTCTTGTAATAAGATCTTAGGCAATGACTCCTGTAATAAGATCTGGCCTTGAAAACAGCAACCAAATCTCTCCAAGAACCTCTACCAACCAGGTGAAAACAAGAAAAGAATAATCAGCCTATTTGATCCCTATACACCTTGATGGTCCTAGAGGAGTATGGGTCCTTTTAAGAGGATGAAAGAGAGAAAACCTGCTCTGGTACCCAGTTGGAAATCAAAGACAGGAAAAAAAGCTGAGATTAATCTAAGATTTAGAGAAGAAAAGTGAGTGTGAACAGTTCAGATGGTGGAAGAAGAAAAGAAGACACAAGAGAATTGAGAGAGAATTCAAATCGTGGGCTGCTTGCAGCCTTATTCCTTGTTATATTCATTTATTGATCCCTTGTGGTTTGGGGTTAAGTCACTTATACCACCCCTCTATTAATGGACTGATGGCTTTAGGTGGCGTTCAATAAATCTAAGCTCTGAAATCTGGAAAGCAAGAAAACCTATGGAAAAGCTCTGATCTCAATCCCAAGAAAATTTGCTTTTCTGCTTTTGCAGAACTCTGAATGCAATGAAGTTGTTCAGTGATCCAAATGCTGTGACTTCTGGGAAATGTGTACTTCACAATTTTACCCCTCATAATGAATCTGTTTGATACTTGTGAATGTTTTTAACACTGAAGATTATGATATGAATAAGTAAATTAAATAATTGACATCAATAAAATGGTATAATAATAAAATAAAAAATAAAATCAAGTATAATTAAATAAATCATACATTAAACACAGCAACACATATGCACAAGAACGATTTGAACAAAGCAACTTTATCACCAGATCCATCTCAAGAATGACTCCAAACAATGGTTCCTCACAAATCACAAGAACATATTCAGACAATTTGAAAACACAAAATAGTAACCACAATGAGAGAGGGAGAGACACACCTTTTGTAGAGGAAGATCAATGGAGACATCTCCTTGATTAATCCGCAATGAAGACATATTTTTAGAACAAAAATGGGGGAAATGATGAAAAATGAAAAAAAAAAATGGAAGACGATTACTGGTGAAGGTGTAGTCATCATCGAATATTTTTCATTCCTGACCACCAATATGGTCCAATGAGAATCACCAGTTGGCACTGTTGTGCAAGAGAGAATGGTGAAGAGGAAAAAAGGATTTAGGGTTTGGGGAGGAAGGGTTTAAGACATGCGGGCAGAGTTGGGGTTTTTATTTTCATAAAGGGGCATGATTGGAAAGTGAATTTCATCTGATACCTCCAAATGTGTTAGTGGGTTAGCTTGAATGCTAACAAGTCTAGGGTTTTTTAGGTGTTCAGAGGTTTGGTTTGGAGGTGCAAGTGAACGACCATGACTGCTAAAACAGCAACTTTTCAGCATTTGGCAATTGGTTCTCTACTATCAAATACAATCTTAGTGAAGATGGAAAGTGTTCAGATGACATTCAAAACTTTTCAAAAGCCTATTTTACCCTTTTTATGGAACCTTCTTATATCTTATATGGATGAAAACACCCTTATTATACTTCTTGAAGGGACAAATTTCTTTGCCATAATGTTAAGGTGAGAATGAAAAATTGAAAATGGGCTCAGAAATATAAAATAAAAATTTGAGACAGCAAAAATGCATTTAATGTTTTTATAGGAAAACCCAGAGGGAGGTCTTGGTATTTGAATAAAACTCAAAGGGAGGAATAAATAATTTACCTTTCTTTTTACATATATCTTTTTTTGACTGTGGTTTCTCACATTCAGACTTCCACTTTCCTTGAAAACTTCATTATTTTGGGATTGTTCCTTGAGGTATTACCTAACTGCTTCCAGATTTACTAAAATCCTATTTGTAGTCCATTGCTAAATTTCAGAGATAGTTTTGAAATGATGCATCTTATCCAACCTAACATGGGTTAGTCAGTTTAGTTATTGGTGGCCAGGCATCGCCTAGACAACAAATATATGTATATGTGTGTGTGTATCTGTGTGTGAGTTATAAGAAAAATGATCTCTTGACTACGTATATCTATGTTTTAATATTTTTTTCACCTAATTAGAGTTGAATGCTGATTTTTCTAGTTACAGTTTTGAAGTGATACATTATACATTTTATCGATCATGGGTTAATATTGTTAAGGCAGTCACCTGATTTTCAAGAAAAGAAACATAAATTCTTGAATTACTTGGTCTAGAGTTCTAGGCACAAAAACAAGCATTTAAGACATTAATTTTCATGTCTATTGTCTATGTATACCTGCATCAACCCAAAACTTTTCACAGATATTTATAATGAAGACTCTAATATGTTGAGATTGGGCCGAATTTATGTTATTTGGCCCAGCTTTGTTTTATTTTTATTTACTTAATGCAGTTAGGAAGTTATTGGGCCTTAGGCCCATTAGTTTATGTTAAGTTAAGTTGTGACTGTTCAGCTACTTCAAGTAGCCGACCTACTAAGGGTATCATTATACTTTTCTATTCTTTTTATAAAGTATATAAATCAAAAGGGGGGTGGCCAGATCTATTCAATTCTGGCGACATCCCATTCTTTTCTCTTCTTTCTCTTGCTGAAACTCTTCAACTTCTGATAATGTTGTCTTAGACCCCACTAGGGCGGATTCTAGAATTTGGAAACCTACCCCCAATGGCATCTTTTCTTGTGCTTCTTTCTTCAAAGTCTTAAGTCAGTCCACCAGTCCTACTTTCCCCCCTTTCTCTGTTGATGAGGTTTGGTGCAGAGCAATACCTCCTAGGGTTGGTAGTTTTTGTTGGGAAGCCTATCTGGAAAGAATCAACACTGGTGATCTACTCCAA